CATACACATTTAAACAAACCAAACCAATAGAAAAAAAAAAAAAAAAAAAAAAACATAAAAAAAAAAAACGAAAAAGATTAAATTAAATTAAATAAATAAATTAGGAAAGAAAGAGAGATAGAAATAGAAGGATCAAAAGAAAGTAAGATTCCCACCCCCAAAATGAATAGTACTTCCTCTCGAGGTCCTATCAGCGGTGGGGCCGGTAGTAACAACAACAGCAGCAGCAGTGTAAATAATCTTAACAACATCAATAATATCAATAGTGGCAACAATGGTGGTGTGCGCCGCTCTTCCCGCCGTGTGAGTCTCAATCCACGCGTGCATGAACACATCCCACCGGAGTATTTACCAAACTTGTCCAAATACAAATACAGTGGATCTGATTCTAGTATTATTGGTCGCTATATTATGCAACCATACTGGAATTTTATTGTAAGTCTTGTACCAATGACAGTGGCACCAAATGCGATTACACTTACAGGATTTTGTATTGGTGTTTCTTCTTCACTATTGGTGATGTTCTTTTACTTTTTTTGTGATGCTGTTTATCCTCCATGGGTATGGTATTATGCGGCGGCAGCTCTTTTTATATATCAAACATTGGATGCTATTGATGGGAAACAAGCTCGTCGAACTCAAATGTGTGGTCCATTAGGTGAACTCTTTGATCATGGATGTGATGCTTTTTTAACTCCATTAGTACAAGTAAATATATCTTGTGCTTTAAATGTATCAAATGAAATGGCTTTTGTATTTTGTACATTGTCTTCATGTGTACTATTTGCAGCGATATGGGAACAGTTTAGTACGGGATCATTAGATCTTGGAAGAATTAATGGACCTACAGAAGGTATTCTTTTGGCTTGTTCTATTTTTCTTATCACTGGATGGTATTCTACATCTATTTGGGATTTAACGGTGATAGGACCTTATGAAATAGTTTTACCTTCTCTCTTTGGAGGTGGATTATTTGTTATTTCAACCATTCGTAGTTTATTTTTTGTATTTTTTCTTATCAGTAGCGCTTTGACGATAGGAACAAATATTTTACACGTTGTCCAACGACCCAGTGTGCATACAAGAGGAATACCATTTTTGGTAGCATTTCCCATGTTTCTTATTCTAGTCCTTCACGTGATTTTATTTTTTACCTATTCGTTTATTCATGATAGATATCCATTTGCATTTGAGTTAAGTTTTGGATTTTTAACTTCTTACACTGTTACTCGAATGACTGTGGCAAGACTTTGTGCGATGCCGTATAATCTTTTCAATGGATTTTATCTCATCTCTCTCTTTATTACTCTTGGCGCTCTTATTGTACATATGTACTTTGGTTGGATTGAGAATAAATATTTAAAACCATCACTGGGATCTGCTATGGTGGGATTATCCGCATTGGGAGTTTGGCAGTATTTACATATGATTCTCTCACTCTTTACACAGATCTCATATTTCTTTAATATTCCAATTCTCTCCATCGCCTCTCAGAAAGAAAGAGACATGAAGCGGGATTAAAAAGAAAAAAAAAGAAAAGAAAAGAAAAGAAAAAAGGGGGAAATACTATGTATATATATATATATATATATACATATATATTTCTCTTTCTCTTTCTGTTGGGTTACCTTCACTTGTTAACAAACGTAATTGAACTATAAGGATGTGAAGGAATCCTCAAAATAATGTAAAGAGACCCTCTTCACCCTCCCCAGAGTTTCTCTCTCACACTCTCATACACTCACATACATATATACAATTATATTCTCATTACACGGAGATATGCACGTGATGAGAGAGAAACAGGGCGTATTTGCGCTTGAATTCCTTTTTTTTTTCTTTATTGTTTTTTTTTTCTCCCCTTAATTTCAATGGAAAAAAAAAGTGAAAGACGTTAGCACATCCTTATCTACATGTGAAACAGAGGCATGATGGGAGAAGGAAAGAGGGAATGAGAGTACAGAAGAAAGAAAGGAAAGAAAAATAAAAAAAAAAAAAGGATAGTAGTAATGATAATAGAGAAATAATAAAAAGAAGACCAAACGGTGTAATAGACTTTTTCATTTATATATATATATATATATATGTATATGGATAACAGTGCGGTACGTAAACGCCTACACGAATCCACTAAATTCCCTCCTTTTTTCCCTTAAAATTCCTTATGTTTACATATATATATATATATTCTATTATTATTATTATTTATTATTATTATTATTATTATTATTATTATTATTATTATTATTATTATTATTATTATTATTGCCATTACTTTTGCTTAAGCAAATACATAAGCCTTTATTTATCTGGATAAGAGTTCATGAGTAAACCCCACACCCTTTTTTTTTTTTTCTTTACTTTTTCTAAAAAAAAAAAAAAAATAGTTTTTTTTTTTCTAGTTTAGAGCCGAGGTGCTGTTGGGAAGGAATTACTTGAGGGAGTTGTCCCTCTACTGTGATTGTAACAAGACAAAAAGAGGGAAATAGGTGAATAGTTTAAAGGAAATCGAATACGAAGAAAAAAAGAAGAAAAAAGAAAAAGAAAAAGAAAAGAAAAGATCTCTGTTGAATATGTATGGAAACAGTTTGCTTGGATCTGTGGCGAGACGTGTGGGGCCATCGCTGTTAACATCGCGGCGTGATGATCCCGATGCGTTTCTCCGACACCTGCAACTCATCAGCACAGACTTCATCACACATTGGCCCGCACAGAAATGCCTCTTCACACCCTACACAATATCCACAACAACTACTACTAATATTACTAATATTACTACAATGAATGAAGAGAAGGGAATGACACATTCACACACTGCAGAGATGATGAATGATGAAATGTCTACACTTCACACAGCTCTTTGTTTTGCGGTGGGGGAAAATGATTCCAATAATCAAGCGCATGTTTTTGAGATGAGTATCCTTTTGGCATTACTACGTCGTCCTCGGGCAGATTATGCTGAAACGATTTTCTGGGATATTCTTATGGATAAATTAAAAGAACTTGATTTTTATGAACTTCTGCAGCAACACATATTAAAAGTTTGGAAAATGATTAAAGAACAACAGTGTGGGCCAGAGGTATTTAGAGGAATGCGTATACTTCAGCTTTCATGTGATATTCTTCTTCTTTTTAGTCAACATGCCATGAATTATTCTCCCAATGCCAATATACTTCGTGAATTTATTATAATAGCACAGGAGATGTGGGTAGATGATTCCTTATTGACATTAAAGCGATGTGCTATTGTGATATCTGTATTTTTGTCAAGATTTCCTTCTTTACTACCATTGGATCTACTCTGTACAACTGAGTTAAGTCAAGATGCCCCATGTTATTTGGCTGTTCTTGCTAAGATTCCTATACTTCGTCAAGAAAATGGTGAAAATCCAGAAACCCTTCGAATGGCATTGGATGTAGTTTTTAAAACGACTGTTTATTCTATTCCTCTTATGGCGTATTTTTACACAGATGGAAATTCTATTGCAGTGGTTTCTATTGTACGAGAATGTTTTGCATCTATTTTGTATGAAATCTTTTTAACAGCATCTAGTGAATTTTGGTCTTATTTCTCACAAGATTCACTTATCTCTATTACAGAGGCATGTGCTACTTATGTTTCTTTATGGGGATCTTATCCTTCTGGTATGCAAGGATTACAACGTCATATTTATAATATTTATACAAATCATAATAGTATCTACGCTATTTCTTTGGTTAATTTTTACACAGCCGCTGCTTCTGTGTATGATATTACATTGGATGAATTAGAAGAAGATTTATCACTTATTCGTGGAGATGCGGTTTCACGGGGTATTATGCATATACCATTAAGTGAAGGATTTTCTCATTTAAATGAAAAAAGTAGTCTTTTTATTATAAATGATGAATCTCCTGTTAAAAAAACATTTCGTCTCTTATCCTCTGGTTGTAGTGCCTTTTCTGGTAATGATTCTCTATTATTTCTACGAAGTGGACTTTTTCTCTTGCGTGCTTTACTTCCTGTTTATATTCATCAACTTGGAGAACTCGAACGTTTAGCAGGATGTAGTATAAAATCTCTTCTTCGTACGGTTTGTGGTACTATTCTTTCATCCTCTTTGGATGATACCAATACGTTAGAAGCTATGTATGGTATTATTTCAAGATATCATTATCTTCTTGATAATCTTGGTTATTTGGATTATACATTATTACTTCCTGAATTTATGAAAGGTGTGGGATTAAAACGTGAAATAACAGAAATAGCTTCACTTCAATTACGACTTTATAACTCTTTCTTGGGGTTTAAACATAATTTCATATCTCCTGGAAAGGTAGTGGAATCTTTAGCATATATTGAACCTGGTGTTATTTCTCGTTTCTCACTTGCTGTCCCATTCTTTATTCAATGGTTATCTATCACACAAACACTACTTTCTGAAACCTCTGAATCTTTAGCATCATTTTTAACATTTGAGGAATCCCATAATAAATTAATTCATCGACTTTGTGAAGGTATATTTGTAATTATACGTGAATTTCAAACTGGGAATGTTTTTCTAGACTCTTATTCCGCTGGTTCATTATTGGAAGAAATGATTCGTATTCTCTCACTTGCAGTATTAGATGATGATCGTCAAGATGTGTTAGCCACATGTGTGATTACCACCTATGGAGAAGATACACTCTCTGCATGTTTTATGCTTTATAGTTTAATCTTCGCACATCATGCTAATACTTCTTTAGTGGAATTAACAGCAAGACTCTTAGCGTATGTGGTACAACACTCCCAAGAGAAATTTTTTACTACTATGCGTTTTCATACTTCTACGGAAATGAAACGATATTTATTTGCTGGTATACATCGATTACTACAACCCTCTATCAATTCATCATCCACATTAACAACAACAACTACTACTACTACAGTAGCAACAACAACAACTGTATCTACTACTACAACGCCGTTAACATCTTCATCTTCCTATTCTTCTCTTAATGTTATACGATTGGCATCTCTTCGCTGTCTTCTTCAATATGACCCTGCATCCTTTTATTACTTTGTGGTTCCTGAAGAAGCAGAAAAGGGAGTAACTGAAATTCCGCTTGTTGGGATTCTGCGTAGTATAGTGAAATCGCCAGATACCGTTATACTTGAAAAGGCAGAAGCTTTGGAGTTGTTAAGAGCTCTTAATGATGTAAGTATTCCTCTTGAAGAAGTAACATCTTTACTCTCTCATACCGATGGTGGTCCTTCGTACTGTAAAGCTGCTTTTATTGCAGCTATAACCAATTATGTTTGTGGTATAATTTTTGATGAAATTCGTTTGGAGTCTGAGCAACAACAACAGATGGGGAAGTCTGTGGAAAGACAATCAAAACAACAACAACAACAACAACAACAACAAGCCCCACTTCGTAGTCCAAGTCGAAGTTGTTCTGTTCAAAGTGTGAAAAGTAAAGGAATTGTAGTTCATTCAAAAGCAATACGTTTGATAACTCGTGTAGGATGTGAAGCTTTACTACAATGTGCTGTATTTTATAGAAATGCAGAAAGGGAACTTCGATTAATTGATGTTCATGAAAATTCAATGGTTTCTGAATATCAAGGAAAAAGAGATTCTCAGAGATATCTTATTTCTCATTCTAGGTATAATACTTCCTCTGTTCTTTCTAATACTAATAACTATGATGCTATTGAAAATACAGAGAACGTATATAGTTGGGATATTAAATTATTTCCTATCCTTGTTGGTATTGGTTTTTTGGTTCCCCAAATGGAAAATAATGCCCCTGTAAATCGAATGGCATCTGTTTTGGAATCTATTAATCGACTCACAGCTTCATTAGAAGTAGTTTTATGGACTGCTAATATGGAAAAAGAAGGAGGATCTATTGCTCCAATGATATTAGAAGCAGTTTTAGATGGTATTACGATGGTAGAACCTACAGTACCTTCTCTTCATGGTCTTATGTGGGATTGTTTAAATGGTTGGTTATCACTTGCACGAGCTGCAGCTGAAGTACTTGCACAATGTATGGCTGACAGTGTACTCCCGGTATCCACGGCTAAATTAAATCCATTTTTTCAGAATTTTGTAAAACTTTTAAATTCTAATCGTAGGAGTATTACTGTCCTTTCTCAAGGATTAGGAGTTTTATCCGTATTTCAGCCTTCCGATTTATTAGATGATGCGACAATAAGACAAATATTTGAACTTATTGATGATGTTTTAGAAAAAAATAGAACTATGACACCTTCAAATATGTTCTTTGTTTTTATTTCAGAGATATGTGCAACTTATAATCGATTTGGAGATTTTTGTTCTTTAAATTCGGCTTTAAATACAATGGAAAGTTTATGGTCATGTGCTTTAAATGTGTCACATAAAATTTCAGCAACAGATTGTTCGTGTGCACTTTCAGATTTTTTTGATCATCTTATAAATGCTATGAATACTGTATTATTAAAAGCTGGAGAAGTATCGAATTATTTCTCAGAAAAGCAAGTGATGAACTTAGCTAGCGCTCTTGGTCAGTTTACTCAATCAGCATGCTATGATTCTGTTGCAAACTTGTATAGACCACAAGCATGGCATCGAGGATGGATGTCAATACTTCGTCTACTACAAACTTTATTAGTAGTATGTGGAAGTAAAGTTAATAGAGGTGAAAACAATTATAATATTAATATGATGAATGGACTTCGTGATGAATTCACTTGGGCTAAATTTGTTTCTACATTAGCTTCAACAAGTCCACGATTTCAAGATGCTATTTCTGGTTTTACTTTTCTTAACCCTACAGTGGAACCAAAACCGTTTTCATGGGAATTAGAAGAGATGCAACTCTGTACCTCACTCCTTGATATCACATCAAGTTTAGGTGTATCTGTCTCTGCTGTTACTCCTCATGTACGACGTTGTTTCTGCCGTCTTCGCCGTTATCGTCTTCAGACAATGGGAATAGTGGAGGAACGTTGGTTAGAGTCTGTTCTGGTCCTAACTGTACGGCATCAACTCTCCTTTCTCCTTCAGCAACAGTTACCTCCGGCCTGTGCTGCAGATGAAGAGTCGGTTGTAGTTACGATTGAGCGGTACAGTTCTGTAAATCATACAGATTCTGAGGAACAGTTATCCTTCGATACCCTCCGATCCTTTACATTGCGGGAACTGAGTATTATTCGCCGTGGACGATCTGACCCTACCACATCTTTTTCAAACAGCACAAATACCAATAATAGTATTAGTATTAATAATAATAATAATAATAATAATAATAATAATAATAATAATAATAATAATACTACAAATATGATGAATACTCCTGCATCTCTTCACTCTAGTTTCGCTACAGCAGATATTGGGATAGATAATGAGGCGGGAGTGGGGCCACATGCCGATAATGTTCAACTCGCTCTTCGTCTTTTTACTCGACATGCAAGATTCTATCTACGCACTCGTTGTCTCACACTTTGGGAACGACGACAACTCGCGGTAGCGCTGGAAAAACTCCTTCACGCACTTAATCGTCTAATTCATGATGTACGTCGACTAGAGAATGCAAAACTAACATGGTTGGTGGAAAATGTTCGGGATGAATTGCAGAGTTTGATTGGGAATCTTCAGTGTGGGTCCTAAAGTGACAAGAAGAAAGAAAGGAGAAAATAAAAAAAAATATATATATATATATAATTAAGTGAAAGGAGATATGATAAAACAGACGAAAATGGAAAAGAAAAAAAAAAGAAAGAGACAGAAACAGAGAAATGTGACTCTGGACGGATGATACCGTGAACAACCTTTTGGAAGAACAAAGGGAATAACAGAGGAAATAAAAAAAAGAAAATACGAAAGGAAAATAAGAGGAGGAGGTATCGTGAAGAGATTCATTTACCACCATTAGTTGCTAATTGGAGGTGCAGAAATATAGAAATGGGAATGGAGTGGAGAAGCGTCGGTTAAACAAGTATTTACTATTATTGGGAAATGGGTAAGTGAGACAGTTGATGCTTTGAATTTTTATTTGTTCAGGGGTATCTCTTGATGTCTTTCACTGTTTGTGTTTATATATATATATATATATATATACTTGTAATTTTAATTTTGGATTTGTGGTTTTTTTTTTTTTTTTTTTTTTTTTTTTTTTTTTTGATTTTCTTTTTTTAAAAAAAAGTTCATAGCCATTTGAGGGGAAGTAACTGTGTTCTGCTATGGCGACGAATCTTTTCACGCTTCCTAAAGTTCTTCTCATGGGACTTCGCAAGTCTGGGAAAAGCAGCATTCAAAAAGTTGTATTTGAAGGTATGCAGCCGCATGATTCTGTGAACTTGCCAACAACAGTACAGGCAGAGAGGAGTACCGTACACTCTAATGATTTTGTGAACTTTGAAGTGTGGGATTTTCCAGGTCAATGTAATCCATTTGATCCTAGTAATGCTAGTTGTTATGATGGATGTCAGCTCCTTGATAACTGTGGAGCAATTGTTTTTGTAATGGATTGTCGTGATATGATTGAAGATGCACGGGCGCGATTACTCGATACGATTTGTGCCGTTTATGAATATAATCCAAATCTTTCTATTGAAGTTTTTATTCATAAAGTAGATGCACTCAGTGAAGATCATCAGACAGATCTTCTTACTAGTTTACAACGTCGAGTTGATGCAGAGGCAAAACAACGATTAGAAAATACCGCACCTCTGCAATTAAATTTTAATCTTACTTCTATTTATGATCATTCAGTTTTTCAAGCTTTTTCACTGGTTGTACAAAAGTTGATGAGATTGCAATCTCCATATATTACAGAACTCTTACAGATGCTAAATAGTAATAGTAACGTGGATCTTTCTTATCTTTTTCTTAGTAAATCTAAAATATTTCTTGCTGTGGATGAACGAAATCGAGCCAAGTCGCGTACCTATGATTTATGTAGTGATGCCATTGAAGTCATGGTGAAAATGAATAAAATTTATCAAAGTAACAAGAAAGATGAAAATACTGAAAAAAATGGAATTCTGTCTAAAGAAGGAAGTGAAGAACGACCACGATTGAAAAGTGTTGAAGCAGCTGTAGGTGAAGGTGCCAATACTATTATTAAGCTTAGTAGCGATGATTACATATATGTTAAGGAACTTCCTAACTCGCTTACTGTGGTTCTTATGGCAAAGGATGAGTTTTTGCAGAATAGGACACTTATTGATCATAATATTTCTGTTTTTTATAAAGCAGTAGTTGAAATATTTTCTGCGGCAGCTGGACAATAATAAAGTTTTGATAATGGGAAAGTTATCTGCCTCCACTTGCATATATATATAAATATATATATATTTATTCCTCATTTCAACAGAAAGAGAGATGTGGAGAAAAAGTAGAAGTGTTTGTGTTTGCACACATTCGTATGCGTTGTTTCCTTTTTTTTTTTTCTTTTTTTTTC